TACATCATCACTTTCCAAAAGGTAAAATTTGGGGTATGTTTGGTTTGTATCTCAAAAAACAGTATCCGAAAATAGTTTTTCACAAGAATTTTAGAAAAGTTGTTTTTATGTTTTCTGAGACGAAAAACTTGTTTGGTTAGATGATTCCAAAAATAATTTTACAAAATAGAAAACAATAAAACATATTTGGATAGCTTAAATATATGTTTGAACAGTAATTCAAGTTATATATACACACATATATATAGCTCACAAGTAGAATTTTATCCCCTATACATTTTATCTCCTAAAAATATCACATCACTTAGTTCTGCTGCATGCACAATTATTTTAATATTTAATTAATTTATAGTTTAATATATTTTTTATTTCAAAAATTATTCATACATGATAGTAAATATATGTTAAGAAATTTTTGTCAAATTACATATTTTTAAAAAATTTTATCGATATTTTAAAGAAAATAATGGATAAACATAAATTTTAAATGATGTAATCAAATAAATAAAAGAAAGAAAAATTATTATTTAATATAGTGGGATAGATTTTTTTGGACGCTCGAATTTTATATTTCATCATACCTTCAACCACAGGTTCTGACTAGTATATATATATATATATAATGACACACACACAAACACTGAAGAACACAAATGACACTGGAAAAGGAGAAGACAAATTGTCTGAGAAGATAAATCTTGAGCCCTTCATCGGAAAAGACGAAGATAGATCTTGGACCCAGACCTCCAATCGTCGGAGAAGACAAAGACAAATCTTGAACCCAAACTTATAATCACTAGAGAAGACGTTGGCTCTGTGTGCTCGTTCCATCTGAAAGGCAAAGTGGAGAGAGAGGAAAAAAAGAAACTTTTATATTATGACTAATTTTGCTACTAAATGGATTCAAAAAAGAGACCTCATTAGAGAGTTTAAGAGTTGTTTCCCTTTATTTTTAATTTTGACTTAAAAATTCAAGGAACTTCATTTAGATGCTCTCCCACTTATTAAAAAAAATTATTTTTGAATATTGCTAGCCAAACGAGATTTTGTATTCCACGTTCACACCAACTCGTCAAACTATATTACGGTGAAAGCAGATCACTATTTGTTTGCTCTTGCACAGATATCGAGATATGAGTTGTAATGGAGAAAAGTTTACTTCAAATAGGGCTGTCGGCCACCTGCTTCCCGTATCATTTCGGTTAAGAATCTAATTTGCCACCTACTTTAAGATAAGATTGTAGGCCCCATGTGCTTCCCAGATCATTTCGTGTAAGATTTGCCATCTACTTTAAAATATATTATTATTTATTATTTTGGTAAACTTTATATTTTTAATATCATGACTCTGCCCCTTTAATGTATGTATAATGAATGTGGATAACAAATAATGATATGGGGAAGATAGAAGGGCTGAAAATTCCATCTGTACTTTCCCTTCACCGGCTTCCAAATAAAAGGACACATTACATATATTATAAAATATTTGCGGTTTATATTTAAGAGTAATGCTATTGAGCCAGAATTTACTGATCTAATTTGCTGATTTAATTCACTATGATATTTGGATTGATTGTGGAGCTCATCAAACATTGGAACTAGGTATTGATCCAATAATTTTATTAAAATCACGTCTTTATGTTAATAAATTAAATTAAAATTTTAAATTTAAATAATATTATCTGATATTTAAATGTGACAACCACACACCGTGCCGTTGAAGGTACGCCACCACACTAACTGACACAAGTTCAATTATTACTCCAACCAGCTCCATTGAGAGGGGACCTCTCAGCTACCATTCAACTCCCCCTGTTTACAAAACAAACCACTCATCGAAAGCTCAAGATTTTCCCCCAAATCCAAAGGCCATGAGATCATCTAGTGTGCAGTCTCCAAGAAAGTATCATCACAAAAACAAAATTATAAAAATGAATTTTGGCGATCAACATGTTTCGTCGCCAAAAGTCTGAAGCAAAATTTTTTGTAAATTTTTTTGTGATAACCCTTGCTTTATTGCAGTGAATATTTATATTTTTAAAGATGAATTACTTGTTATCCAAAAATTAATATTGCATATCAAATATTTTTTGTCATTGAAAAAATCTTTTGATGACGAATTTAAGGCGAATCTTCCGCGACTTGTTAAGCACTTAGATACTTTCTCGGAGACTACACACTAGATGATCTCATGGCCTTCGGGGGAAAAATCTTGAGCTTTGGATGAGTGGTTTGTTTTGTAAACAGGGGGAGTTGAACGGTTGTTGAGAAGACCCACCAAATTAGGTATCACAATAGACAAAAAAAAAATGAGTATTCATTTAAACTCGTTCCATTTAGATCGAAGATCAATTATACGTATTGAACGGTAGACGTATACGATAATATTCATATAAATTCGTGCAAAAATAAAGTTAGAGATAAATTTACCCTTATCCCGGCCTGTCCCCATTATACCCGTTAAATATAGCCCCGTCCCCGCTATACCAGTATGCATGTGTGTTTTAATACGGTGTTTCATAGTATTATGATCCACAAACTATTTTTTCTTTTTCAATTTTGCTCTTGTTGACTACCTATCGATATCTGTGGGCTACATCACCTACTAATGTTAATTTGCTGATGGACTGAACGCCATTTACTTCTATCATTTTTTTTGTCATACTAACTAGAAGATATACCATACTTATTGACGCCAAAATACATAGTTAGTTCTGTCCAATTGCATGATGAACATTTAAAAGTATCAAGGAATAATTCTTAGAAATATTCACATAACCTGTCTGTTTAAATTTTAAATTTAAGAGTTTCAAATTCTGATATGTCTTGTAACCTTATGTTGGTTTTGGGCTAACGGTATAATATTATTTTTTATTTTTTTAATTTTAAATAACAACAAGTTAATATTGTAGCTTCTGGTTGCAGGTGCTGATAGCTCAACTCTCATATTTTTTTTGCAATATCATATAGGTTCTCTGATGATGGATTTCATGGCTGGTTGATCAAGTAGTTATTCGATTTTGTGGGGTCTCTTAACTTATATAGTGATTTATTATAGGTCGGTTATATCAAGTTCAAGTAGTATTTGAGACATTTGTTGTTTGTGATATGTTAGAATATGTTATGCTACATAATGTTGTGTTAGATTATTTAAAATATTAGATTTATGGAAAAATTTCATCAACACCCCCTCTAGTTAGGCATAAATTCAAAGACACCCTTTTCCCATTCTGAATTTTCACTGCACTTCCTTCTAGTTTACACTGTTAAATTAAAGACACCCCTTACCATAACCCGCAATTACTGACAATCAAAAAAGTATTGATGTCATACCAAATCTTTTATTAAATGCCAATTTTACCTTTCTTATTCCACACGAAACCCTTGTGCCTCTCTCTCTCTCTCTCACACACATGCCTCAACAACTCAATCACCTAACTGCAACAACGTGACAATGAATCCAAGCCATTGATCCTAGCATTAACCGATAAAGAATAACATAAAAAATTTAGTGCTAAGAATGGGTGACACCGTATAAAAAAAATAATAATAAAATCGGTTACACCGTATACTTTAACATAATATAAGGAAAAAATTTAAAATAATTTTTAAAAAAAATTAAAAAAAAATTGGTAACATCGTACGCTTAAAACATAATAGAAGAAAAAAAATTCAAAATACTTTTTTTTTGTTTAAAAAAAAAAAACGGTAACACCGTACGCTTAAACATAATATAAAGAAAAAATTTAAAATAATTTTTTTAAAAATATTTTTTTAAAAAAAAAATCAGTGACATCGTACAGTTAAACATAATATAAGAAAAAAATTCAAAATAATTTAAAAAAAAAAAAAATGATGACATCATACGCTTAAACATAATGTAAGGAAAAAATTCAAAATAATTTTCAAAAAAAAAAAAATCAGTAATACTGTACGCTTAAACATAATACAAAGAAAAAATTTAAAATAAATTTTTTAGAATTTTTTTTTTAAGAAAATGGTGACACCGTGCGTTTAAACATAATATAAGGAAAAAATTCAAAATAATTTTAAAAAAAAAACGGTGACACCGTACGCTTAAACATAATACAAGGAAAAAATTTGAAATAATTTTTTTAAAAAAACTGTGACACCATATACTTTAACATAATATAAGGAAAAAAAATTCAAAATTTTTTTTTTTTAAATTTTTTTTTAAAAATAGATGACCCGGTACACTTAAACTATATAATATTTATACATAGTTTAATTCTTTATAAAATTCATGGGTAAAATGGTAAAACGTCTATTTCTGTCACGTCTGTTAGCCGACCAACACTGACAACGGAGGTTAGTGAAATTTTAGAAAAGGCAAGAGGTGTCATTGAAAATATACCTATTTATAAGGTGGGTGTTGATGGAATTTTTCCTAGATTTATTTAAAATTTTAGATTATGTTAACTTGAACTTGGATTTAGCCTTGGATTTGGGTTTGAGTTTGGGCTTGAGCTTGAGCTTGAGCGGGTACGAAGGAAGCCGGGATTGGGGTGGGGATTAAAAATTTACCTGTGGACGGGAATTGAGATGAAAATTATAACCGTTAACAGAAATGAATCAAAAATGGACGAAATTTTTTTAAACGAATACGGAAATATGGAGGTGGTTGGAACTTTCGTCGTCAATGGGTCTTTGGTCCAATGATACTCCTTACCTTATAAAGATTTTATATTCTTAAGGTTAAAGGTTCAAGCCCCTTCTTCCTCTCTCTCTCTCTCTCTCCCCCTTCTCCTCCCAAAAAAAAAGTTATAAAGAAAATATAAATATAATATTTTAAAAAAAATAAAAAATAAAAAAAAGGTTGGAACTTCCGTCTGTTGCTGTGGTGCTCTACCTTTAAATGTACGGCAAATGTTTTGTTATGTGTACTGTTCAGGTATTATTGTAGTCCACGTCCATTATATATACTTAAATAACCCTACATTAAATCAACACGAAGAGCCTCCATCCAGACAAACACACAGGAGAGAGAGAGAGAGAGAGAGAGAGAGAGAGTTATGGATACCCAGGAAACCAGTTTCAGTGTTCTTATGCTTCCATGGTTGGCTTATGGTCACATCTCTCCCTTCCTAGAGTTAGCCAAACAACTCGCAAAGAGAAACGTCCATGTATACCTGTGTTCTACACCTATCAATCTCAGTTCTATCAAGGAAAGACTTGTTCAGTTGGAGGATCAATCTCTCTCAATAGAAATTGTGGAACTCCATCTACCCTCCTCTCCTGAACTTCCTCCTCATTACCACACAACCAATGGTCTTCCAATCCACCTCCAACCCACCCTAAGAAAAGCCTTTGAAATGGCAAGCCCGAGCCTGTCCAACATCCTCAAGACACTAAACCCCGACTTGTTTATAAACGATGTCGTCTATCAATGGCCTTCAGCAGTAGCTTTATCGCAAAATATTCCGGTTATTAAATTTCAGATTTCCAGTGCAGTCATGGTTTCCTATTTCAGTCATTTACTGAAGACTCCGGATGTTGAATACCCTTTCCCCACCCTTTATCTTCGTGATTTCGAGTTAGCTAAGATACGTCATGCGCTTGAAGCTTCAACAAGCAATGGCCCAGGGAGTGATCACGAGCGAGAAGAAGAAGATAGTTCAATTATTTTGTTGATTAGAAGCTCTAACGAAATTGAAGGAAAATACTTCGATTATTCCTCCTCTATGATTAAGAGGAAGGTCATGCCTGTTGGCCCTCTCATTCAAGACCCTGTTAGCAAAGATGAAAATTTGGAGGTCATCGAATGGCTCGAGAAGAAGCATCACTGTTCAAGCGTGTTTGTGTCCTTTGGGAGTGAGTGTTTTCTGTCCAAGGAAGAGATGGAGGAAATAGCAAATGGGTTAGAGCTCAGCAATGTTAACTTCATTTGGGTTATTAGGTTTCCATTGGCAGATGAAACTATGGTTGAAGATGCACTGCCTAAAGGGTTCCTTGAGAGAGTGGGAGACAGAGGAATTGTAATAAAGGGATGGGCCCCACAAGCGAAAATTCTAAGGCATTCAAGTATTGGTGGGTTTGTGAGTCATTGTGGATGGAGTTCAGTATTGGAAAGCATGGAGTTTGGCGTTCCAATCATAGCTATACCCATGCAGTTTGATCAGCCTTTGAATGCTAGGTTGATGGTTGAAGTTGGTGTAGGGATGGAGGTTTGGAGGGATGATAGTGGGAAGCTTCATAGAGAAGAGATAGCAAAAGTAATAAGGGAGGTGATAGTTGACAAAAGAGGAGAAGCTATGAGGAGAAAAGCAAAAGAATTGGGAGAGAAGATAAGATTGAAAGGAGACGAAGAGATGAATGGAGCTGTGGAGGCGATATCACAACTTTGTCAGAAGAGTAAGGCGCAGTAATGGTCATATCATCATATCTCCACGGTTGGTTTAGTGGTACAACTTCTATGTCCAAACAATGTTCTGTAGGGTTACGTTTTGTTGAATTTGCTTTCATTCTCTTATGTGCTCAATTGGATGACTGTAATCCTAGTGGAAAATAGTTATCTCATTTCTAATAAAGTGATACTTGGATTTCCATAATCATAATAATTTTTTATTTATTCTCTATTTATGATCTGTTTCATAGGAATGATAGAAATTTTAAAGGATATAAAGTTGAAAGGATGAAAAATTAAAAAGAATATATTTTCTCTCATTTATATTTGGTATAATAGATAAAAAATTGAAGGAATACATTTTCCTTTTTTTGGTATTGGATAGAAAGAAAAAATATATATACTAAATTTACTATTATACGCTCACATCAAAGTGATGAATTTTTCTATAGTAATTAGGGTTGTGCAAAAAAACTCGTAAACCCGACCACCCGATCTGTAATTGACCCCTCCGAATGAAAATGGATAGTTAAAAATGCTTCCTGTTCGGTTTCAGCACGAGCTTCTTATTGACTTTTTTTTTGTCCTTTAACAAAATAAAAAAACAAAATGGAGAATTACACTGAGATTCCTGAGATTTGTCACTTGATCACTCAGATCTCTTGATATTAAATATTACACACAGACCTCTTAAAGTTTGATTAAAATATTTTTGATCTAAGTATAATATTTTAAACTTAAAGGGTCTAAATATTATATGACTACAAACTTTAAGGAGTCTAAGTATAATCTATTAATGGATATATATATAATGTACAAATCTTAGGGGGATTATATGTAATATTTTAAATGTCAAATAGTCTGAGTGATTAAATGACAAATATTAAGAGGTCTGAATGTAATTCTCCCAAAAACAAAAATATATAAACCCCCAATTCCCAAACCCTACCTCATCTCCTTCTTCAGTACAGCCCGCCGCTTCTCCTCAATCCTCAGCCTCTTCTCTCCCCCAAACGCTACTCCATTTTCTTCCCTCTATTTCTCTTTCTACTCTTGGATCAGACCACAAAGATAACAGTTGGATGCTTTAAGGAAACAAAATGGATGCCGACGAGGTAACAATCCAACACTCATTACCGCAATCTGACCACCCACATGCACCGCCCACAGTGGCGCCACCGCCACTCAACTACTGTTTTAACGGTTTTTTATTTGGATTTTTTTTTTAAATAATGATCGATTTTGATCTTCTTTTGGAAATTAATTTGTGCGCTGCAACAACCTCTACCACAACCTTTTCTTTGTTGTTCATGACGGTTTTGGGCATCAAGTTGTGCGCTGTAACAGAGAGAGAAGAAGGAAAGTTTTGTCTGCTACAAAGGGTAAAGTAGTCGATTCTCAAAAAATGTCATCTTCCCTCCACTTTTCAGTCCATTTTCCTCCCAAATATTTGGGGGGTGGGGGGAACTTTTGGCGACGGCAGGAATCCAGTTCTCCTCCATTGTCCATTCCCTCCCACTTTTCTTTCTCTATTTTTCATCCTCCCTATTTTCACTCATACTAAACAAGGGGTTAAATTCTTTCTTTAAAGAAAATAAGCTCACCTCTGTAAAACCCAAGGACCCAACGACTCCCTTTCTTTTATTCGCTCAATTAAGCCTTGCATTTCATCATCTTATTGAATTTCCTCTTGAATTGGATCCACCTAACGAGGAATAGACATGGAGAAAGATTGTAGTTCACCCTCAATTGGCACTATTTTTAGGGCTTTGAAAAATTCCTTCTTTTTACCCCCAAAATACTCTCTTTAGAGCTAGGGCTTCACTCTACAAATCATCAAGGTAGATTGAGGAAATGAGAGATGGAGGCAAGCGAAAGATGACAAAGGAGGGTTCCATGCACGGCTCTATGCGAGAAAACAGAGCAATGAAGAGGAGAGGCAAGGGCCCAGGTGACCTCTTGATGACACTAGTGCCTGGGGGTGCCTTCATCTCAGCAAGGGGTATGGGAGTGCTAGGCGTAGGCGGTGACGCCGTAGTTAGCAACGCCAGCGGTAGTAGAGGTGACGCCAAAGGAGCAAGTGGTGACGCCTACGGCGCGAGTGGTGATGATGAAGACACAAGTGGGTGACGCTTAGGCCTGGGCAATGCAGATAGTTACATGAGCAAAGGCAGGACACTAGACAGAGGTAGGACACCAGGCGTCAGCAAAAGGGAGCTGGGCGACACCTTGGGCGCAGACGACAATGCCGAAGTGAGCACGGACGACGCCAACGGCGGGTTTGGTGGCTCTAGTGGTGTGGACGGTGCTAGCGATACGTTGGGTGCTGGTCCTCACGGCTGGTTTGGCGCTGGTCCTTGCGACATGCTAGGTGAAGGAGCAAGAGGTCCAGGTGTTGAGAAAACAAATATAGGCATTGAGGCACTATTTGGGAGAGTGGTTGGTGGAGGTAACAAATCGGACTGTAGAGGGAAACAAGATAACACCTTTCAACTAGTTAACTTAATCTCATTCATAACCCTTGTTAATCTCGATTCCCCTTCACTTTTTATTGGCTTCTGTTTTTTCAAGTGCCTGAGCTGGTAAGGGCAGTATGACAGATAGTACACAGGCTTCGCACGAAGGCAAAGGAGTTGCTGAAGGCGATGGGTCGAAGGTATCCTCTATTTTTAGTTCAATTGACTGTGACGATGATATCGCTTGCATTGTTTCTTCGTTCCATATCCGTCATGTTATTGTGTGTCATCGGGCCATGATGGACGAGTTCGTGTGTTATGAATCCTCAAGAGAGATCGTCTTCTATGAAGATGTCTTGGAGGGCCAATTGAGATATTCTATACCTAGGCCTATTCGTCGAATTCTGGGTCACTTATCACTGGCTCTGGGTAGGTTGACTCCTTATGGTTGGAGGGTAATTCTGTCATTCTTCTCACTATGACGGCTAGTTCATGACGATGACGTTTCTCCCCTTTAGAGGAGTTCTTGGCCTCGTATGTGCTTATGGATAATCCTACTCCTCATCAAGGATGGTACTGCTTTGTCTCGAGATCGGGCAAGTTTATTACTAAACTGTCTTCGAATTGCCATAGTTGAAAATCTAGGTCCTTCTTTGTTGGAGGTGATTGGCTGCTGAGGAAGATCATGACTTAGTGCGTTCGACGTGGGACATTGCTCTGAGGACTAAGCTAGGTAAGGGTTTTACCTTTGCTTTTACGTTGACTGTCATGCCCATTGTATTCACTGCATGTTTGGCTCTTTTTGCTGATTCACCTACGTTATTTATGGAGTAAAAAAATAGGCTCAAGGGCATGCAGGATCATCCTATCAAGGAGTTTACGACCCTCATGTCCGTGGCGCGTCATCCTAGAGCCTCCCCTAGGCAGAAGAGGAAGGGTAATTGATCCTTCCAATAAACTTTGATGTTTATAATACTATAGATTCTTTGTTTTATACCAGTTTCATATGTCCCACTGTTGATAGAGCGATGGTGAAGGCTTTATATGCTTCTAGGATGACATATTCCCCTCCTCCCAAGCAGGCGAAGGTCGATGCCCACAATGTCTCATGGTGGTCCGATGGGCATGCTATATCTTAGGAGGTTGGATCAGAGGGTGCCCCCACTCTTTTTTAGCACACAACTCCTTTGAGTGTTGGGGTTAGTCTGGCTATTACTTCGAGGGTTAAGACTTCTGTGCGGCCGTCTGTCGAGTTTAGAGCTCCACGCAATCGTTCGACTTCTAGCAGTGGCTTAGTGTCCATGCTATGGGATATGAATCTGGCCAAGGAGCGATTTTGGAGGTTTGTGACCACTGCAGATATTAGAGAGGTTGGCTCTCGGGGTCTAGAAGGCATCATTGATACTGCGATGGAGGGCTTTGCTATGATAATCCTTTCTCCTTTTTAATTTTGATTTTTGCATTTCTCTTTTTTTCATGCTATGCCTTTTGGATACCTGCAGATGGATGCTACTTTTTCCATGCCTCTTTTCAAGCTCAATCAAATTGGATGAGGCATCAAGGGTTTTGGCAACAAAAAGGCATGCACGAGAAGCTGCTGAGGAGTAGTTGAGGCTAGCTTATGAGATAGTTGTACCTCTTGAGGCAGAGCTTTTGGTGTCCCACGAGAGGGCTACCCAGCTGGAGGCTGACAAAGAGGCTTTTTGCACGAGAGTAGAGACAAAGCTGCAGGCATCCCACAATAGGGACACTGGAGCTGAGGTCGAGCTACGGACTGCTTGAGAAAAGGCTGTCGTGGTAGAGATTGACTTGTGAATAGCTCATGAGAGAGCCACCAAGGCAGAGGCTCACTCCATTGAGATGGAGTGGAGGATGAAGGCTGTTGAGAGGGCCATTATAGGCATTTTTATTGATAGTTATGAGGAATTTAGGGAAAAGACCTCAATAGCCTTCCCTGCCATTGACTTTTTTGGTGTCGTCCCTTATGAGGCATCAGGGACTGATGGTGATGGAGAGAGCTTTGATGAGAGTGGCTCGGAGAATAGTGAGTGATGTCAGGAGTATGACAACTTTTATCTTTTTGTTGCTAGCTCATGTTCTAACTTTTGTAAATAACTTGCAAACTTCTATGGAATGAGAGATAGTTTTAGACAAAATAATTCTTGCAAAGTTTTATTTCATGACTTGAAGTAATAGATAACAAAAAGAACTGATTGAAACAACAAAAAGAAGATAGTCACTGGCTTGTACCCTCACTGACTTGTACCCCCACTGACTTGTGCCCCACAATTGATAATACCTATTTTGGTGTTCCACGTTCTAGGGATGGGCCAGCGCTTGAGTTCTGAANTCACTGACTTGTACCCCCACTGACTTGTGCCCCACAATTGATAATACCTATTTTGGTGTTCCACGTTCTAGGGATGGGCCAGCGCTTGAGTTCTGAATTTTGTAGGTGTTTGGTCTTGTAACTTTTGTCACCATGTAGGGTTCTTCCCAATTAGAGTCTAACTTCCCTTCTCGAANTGCCTTTTGGATACCTGCAGATGGATGCTACTTTTTCCATGCCTCTTTTCAAGCTTAATCAAGCTGGATGAGGCATCAAGGGTTTTGGCAACAAAAAGGCATGCACGAGAAGCTGCTGAGGAGTAGTTGAGGCTAGCTTACGAGATATTTGTACCTCTTGAGGCAGAGCTTTTGGTGTCCCATGAGAGGGCTACCCAGCTGGAGG